TCCTTGACATCCCTTGCCAGATTTAATTCCAACTGGGCCTTAGCCTTCCTTGTCGCATCCCTGCACACTCTGACAACAACCCTGTATTCCTCCCAAGTGGCCTGTCCCCTTTTCCACATTCTGTACACTTCCTTCTTCTGTTGGAGTTTTGCCAGGAGTTCCTTGCTCATCCATGCAGGTCTGCTGCCCACTTTGCTGGACTTCTTACTCAGAGGGATGCACCCATCTGGAGTTTGGAGGAAGTGATGCTTAAATATTAACCAGCTTTCTTGGACCCCTCTTCCTTCTAGGGCCCTACCCCATGAGATTCCTCCAAGTAGGTCCCTGAAGAGGCCAAAGTTAGCTCTCCTGAAGTCCAGGGCTGCGATCCTACTTATTGCCCTGCTCCCTCCTCGTAGGATCCTGAACTCCACCATCTCATGGTCACTGCAGCCAAGGCTGCCCCCAGCCTTCAGATCTCCAACCAGACCTTTGTTGTTTGTTAGTACAAGGTCCAGCAGCGCGCCTCTCCTCGTTGGCTTCTCCACCACCTGTGTCAAAAAGTTATCCTCAGTGCTCTGCAGGAACCTCCTTGATTGTTTGTGCCTAGGATGCATCACAACAAGGAGTTGCAACACTCTAGATGCCTTCTCGCAAGGAAGCGGCCACTGGAGTAGCAGTATAGTGTTCTTTTCCTGTTCCAGAAAAGTGAGGGCAACAGTTCTAAGGGCATTCCTTCTAAAAAGTGTCAGCAAGAGACTGATCTGGAGAATCTGGTCTGGTAACTTGCTTGAATTGATGTGTATATTGCAATCAAGCTGTCTTCACACAATCATCTGTTGGATTTAGGATTTTGTCCTGCTTTCAGAGCAGTTCATTTTAAACCTGATCCCTATGCCAGGTTACTGTCAAAATCTGAGAAAGCCTGAGAAAATTGAAACTGGTAGCCTGATGTTCTGGGAAGCATCTTAGCTAACTGAATTACCAGCTCTGGTATCTATACTCATAAAGCATTCAGAATTCTGTAGCTATTGCTTTAATGTTTTGGAACACCCTGTTTTGCATTATATCTGCATCACAGTAGTTTTCACTTTATCATGTGGATAGCTGATGCCTAAATCTTATTTTCAAACTTAATAGTACAACATAAAGGTGGTAAAGGATTTCTTTAACCAAAATCTTAAAACTTGATTATTTTTCTTTTAACCTCAGCATGGTCCAAAGCATGGCTCTGTTGTGCCAATGTTCCCTCCCTCCCATACACACACACACACACACACACACACTTCATGGGTTTGAGCAGATAGCAGCTTTGCTTCTCCCATATCTGCTACTGTCCTGAAAGCTGCTACTACTACATACCTGCTACTACACCTGCAAGCCAACTCGGAGAGGATGGAGCTTGCTTTGGTTGATGCATATTTCTGTGTAGTATTTGTAAGTGGCTTGTCCAGTCATGCTGAGTTCATTAAGCCGTATGCTTCCATCATATGGAATATGAATGTTCCACTGAAATAACTTCTGTATCATCTAGGAGTATTTGGAAGCTAATTATGAAAAATCATCAAGTAGATTGAATTATTATTGCATTGAAATGTTAATCTAGAGCGATGGGAAACTCTGCAACTGTCTGGATTACCAGCTCAAGTATGTATACTAACTAAAGCATTCCCTGTTGAGTTTACTATGTTGGATGCGGTGATTTCTGCTTCCTTGTAATTATTTCTATTAAGAATCCTCAGCTTTCACACTTCTTTTTTTTTTTTTTAATAATAACAGACTAGTCATATAATTCTGGGCTATGTATAGCTTATCCTTCATCTCTGAACCATTTCCACAGCATGCAGTCGCTTACATGATAAAAGGATTATATAGTCTTTGTATTTTAATATCTATTGCAAGCTCTATATCAGATTGGCTTTGAACTATTCTTAGTGTTTTTTCCCCTGTTTTCATGTCAACATTTTACTCCTAGCACCCTTTTTGAGGTGATTACTCATTGCTGACTTTTTTTTTTTTTCCTCTCTTTGAGATGGAAATTCCAGATGGCTTTTGTAGAAATCCTAAATATTTAATGCATTTGAACCTTGCAGTCAGTCTGTTTGATTTACACAATCTTCCCTGCTGGGATTAATTTCACACTTCCTGGACATCCTATCATTAGACAACTCCTCACTCTATAGCTCAGGCAGGTTTATTCCCCACCACTACCCCCAATCAGTATCCTATTACTTCCTGTCTTTTTTCCACTTGCTCGTATTCTCATATAAGTCATTTCCTTGCTGATTTTTTTTGTCTTTCAGGGTCTGTGATTCAGCAGGTTTCTAGAAGCCTTGTGTTTTTCTATATAAATTCTTTTCTTCTCATGAGTAGTTTTTAATCCCCATCTGTACATATCCCTAGCTAATTTTCCGGACTTCAGAGCCTCTTGTTTGTGAGAGA